TGATGATTTTCTAAATGATATACAGCGGCTCACTGAGCAATGCGAACGTGAACTTAATGATATGAGTAGTGTTGAAAATGTTGATTCGGAACCTGCTGACACGCCCCTTCCCAATAATGTCTTTCTTAACAATGAAATCGAGTTAAGTGAAGTGAAAAAGGTGATGGTTAATTTGAAAAAAGGTAAAGCCGTTGGTGAGGAAAATTTACCAAATGAAGTGCTAAAATGTGATCGACTGTTGACTCCAATCCATACTTTGTTAAATGCCTGTTTCAAATTTGGAATAGTGCCTACGATATAGAGACGGGCAATTATTTCACCGATACCTAAAGGAAATAAGGACTCAAGAGTTCCGCTTAACTACCGAGGAATAAGCCTTATGTCCACAGTTTGCAAAATCTACAGCGCCGTATTAAACAATCGCCTGAAATCATTTTTAGATTTCAACAATATACTATGTGATTCGCAAAATGGATTTAGAAAACTCCGTTCGTGTTTGGATCACATATATGCGTTAACAACCATATTGCGACAAAGACTGAAAGCTAGAAGCGACACCTATATATGTTTCGTCGATTTTTCCCGGGCATTCGACAGTATTAATCATGATGGCATGTGGTATAAACTTCTTCAAAGTGGTGTTTGTGGACGCATGTATAAGGCCATCCGATCAGTCTATAGTACCGTGTCATATTGTGTTAAATTAAATGGTCACTTCACGGATTGGTTTACTGCTGAATTAGGAGTGAGACAGGGAGATATAATTTCTCCGACCCTATTTTGCCTTCATGTGAATGACCTTGAAGCAGAAATTAATGCCCTTAATCTAGGAGTTAATGTGGGTAATGAAAACATCAGTGTGTTGATGTATGCAGACGATATTGTTTTTATTGCACTGACAGCGAATGATTTGCAATTAATGTTAGACACCCTGTATAATTGGACAACACAATGGAGACTTACTGTAAACTGTGATAAAACTCAAGTGATTCACATCAGGAAAACTACAAAACCACGCACAGAGTTTGAGTTCAAGCTCGGTCCTTCTAGCTTAAATATGGTAGAAACATATCGTTATCTTGGAATAATAGTTACCGAGTCTCTTGACTATACCGTGACCGCCACGACTTTGGCTGATGCAAGTAGCCGCTCCCTTGGGTCTATTATTGCCAAATATTTCAACATAGATGGATTACATTTATTTATAATACGTTCACTAAAATGTATGATAGCTGTGTATCTTCTGTAATGGACTATGGCTCTGCTGTATGGGGAAATAAACAATACAATAAATGCCAGATCGTACAGCACCGAGCTATGCGAACCTTTTTAGGAGTTGGAAAATATACTGCAATAGGATAGTTTCTAAATAGCAGAAAAATCAATGAAATCTCGTGCTGCCATCTTTTATTCAGCTTTTAACTCGGGCTAGAGCTCCATTCGTTTACATGCTAAAATCTTGGAAAAGTGGCTTAATTTCATGATTTATCAAAGTGTGTTTGTTGAATCTGTATAAAACTTGAATGATATACCACATGATGACCCTGTTTATGTACATGATGTGATTAAACATGCAAATGTTGATTGACATACAAATAATCCACGGATTTAAAGAATTTTAGCATTGCATCTATGGACATTTGGCCCAAGTTTTTTTAAATTGTTATAGAAAATTATTCAAATTACATAACTGTGTAAATCAAAGCTATTAAAGGAGAAAACATTTCACTGAATTCAAATATGCCATTTAAAAGAAGGTAATGTAAGTCATTAGAGGTCTAATATGCAAGTCTCTTAAAATCTCACGAAAAACGAGATTTAGCGAGATTTCAAAAGCTATATGGAAACTATACTATTCCAGCTTTATACGGGGAAATGGCGTGGACCCCACCGAGCGTTCGCCACCACGTTGAGATGGTCCGGCTTTTTATACGACTATGTAGAATGCCAGTTACGCGCTTAACAAGGCGAATATTTGACTGGGACTACGAACATGACGTTAATGGAACATGGTGCAGTGAAGTCAAGCACATCTTAGAGGACGCTGATCTTCGCTATGTTTACGAGACACGATTTATCCCTCAAACAAGGGTGCGGCCGATTTTAGACAATGTGAGGAATATGATATTTTCTAACGATTGAGCGTAGCGAATAAGTTTGAAAATTATTTAATGCAGGTACTTCACACTGTTTTGATATCAGATTTGGAGAAGATGTTCTATAGTTTGTTACGGGGGTGTATATTTGAGTATGTTCTGTTCTATTTAAGTGACGACAAACGGTGGTATTGATTGAATGAGTTGTGAGTGATTTATGTTTAGGAAATAGGTTTTGAGTCATTCGGCTTTGTGACGCTAACACGGCAGCATTTGCTAAATTTACCAAACAACTTTAAGGTTAACTGTTTTAAACTATTTTGTCAATGTATTTTTACTTTGATATAAAGTTAGAAATAGTTTTTGTTTTAAGTAAATTGTGTGTTTCGAATTCTTAAATCCTACAAACGCCAATTTCATCTTAGGGGTAGGTGGACCTCCTTGTATATAAAAAACAAAATGTACAAGGTACCTTTCGCACTTTGCAAAAGGGGTCGCCGCGAGGTTGGCATTAAAGAATTCAATTATTAGCCTACAGGGCATAAGTACTGTAAATATAATACTAATAAATTATATACAGAGTATGTTAGCAAGGTTTCCGAAACCACATGAATATAAAATGTAAATTATTTACAATAATTCATAACTGAGATAAAAAGCTTTGCCTCTGAGGCATATGGAACGGGTTTAATGTTTGGACAAGGAGTGACCATATATTTGATTATTTATAATTTCAGACGAGACTCGTCTCTGAGACGTTTGTGGAGCTATAAAATATTACTATTTATAAATTATAAGATTTGAGATATTTGCCTCCGAGGCTAAATAATAATTTCATTTTGAAATTTGTCAAAAGAATGAAGTCCCATGAATCAATATTGGACTATTATGGAGTTTTTGCCTCAGGAGCATCTGGAGATAAGGAATATTTGGTATTATAAGTTTACCTCTGGAGAACACGTACTTTAGAAGTTAATAGAATCTTAATATATGCCAGGATTATTATCAGATCATTGGACTATTATTCAAGTTTGCCCATCGGGGCATCTGTGCATAAGTAATATTTAATATTAAACGTTTACCTCCGAGGGATGTGTACTTTAGAAGTTGATTACTGAATATTAATGATATATGGCTTTGTATGCCAGGATTATGATCCGATCATAAGTCCGGGACACCTCCGAGGTGCTGCCCAAAGGGTCATTGTGTATGTGGAGTTTGTATGTACGATATTATCATAGGCCAATAAATAGCGACATAGCGGCACATAAGAGCCAATGCAAATAATATTAACAAAATATGGATTCATATGCCAGGATTAAGATCATTGGACTATTATTGAATTTTGCCTCTGGGGCATCTGTAGATAAATATTGTTTTTATATTATATGACTGTTTACCTCTGAGGAATAATCCACTTTAGAAGTTAGAAAATATGATATTAATAATATGGCTTTAAATGCCGGGACTAAGATCAGGCAATTATTGAATATTATTGAATTTTGTCTCCGGGGCATCTGTAGATAAGGATTGTTTTATATTAAAAGTTTACTTCTGAGGAATAATCCATTTTAGAAGAATTAGAAAATAATATTAATGATATGGCTTTAAATGCCGGGATTAAGATCATGTCACTGGACTATTATTGAATTTTGCCTCTGGGGCATCTGCACAATATTTGATATAAAACGTTAACCTCTGAGGGATTTAGAAGTTGATTACAGAATATTAATGATATATGGCTTTGTATGCCAGGATTATGATCCGATCATAAGTCCGGGACACCTCCGAGGTGCTGCCCAAAGGGTCATTGTGTATGTGGAGTTTGTATGTACGATATTATTATAGGCCAATAAATAGCGACATAGCGGCACATAAGAGCCAATGCAAAATATGGTGGTTGTGTTCTTTTAAGATTTAAGTACGGAGGACCAGTTTTAAGTGAACTTTCTAAATTTAAGACGCAGTGGAAACAAGATATAATCACTATGCCTAAGCTCAGAACATATTGTATACTAAAACAAGACTATGGATGTACTGATTATGTGAAAATGAAACTGACTAGGTATCAAAGATCATTGATGGCTAAACTGAGGTCGGGCACATTTCCTATACGGATAGAAACAGGACGTTATCGGGGAATTCCTCTTGAGGAAAGATACTTTCAAGCCTGTAAATGTCAAGATATAGAATCTGAGCTACATTTCATGCTAAAATGCGAAATATATAATAATGAAAGACATCATTTTTTACCAAAGTTAAACACCATATCCCTGATTTCGATTTTACAGACACTAGTATTAAGAACTACATATCAAATATTTTCCACATTAGAAATGATTATGTATAATGATTATCTAAAGTGTCCCATAAGCCTTTGAAGGCTGGGTGCACGCTCGTTTGTATTGATTATATATGTACATGTATGTGAAATTGTGCACGAGACAATGAAATAAACAAATACTTACTTACTTACTTACTTACTTACTTACTTACTTACATCCTTTTGAACCATTGAAGTTGTTCTTGTTTGATATATGGGACCTACTTGCAAAAGTCAAATGTGGACCCGTTTCCCTGAAATGTTTTGAAAAGTGATCGCCAATGATGGCTACGGGCCAGTACATCCATAGACTTTCGATAGATGTCGCTAAATCCTCCATCCTCATTTTATTTAGCAGGTGCTATGTAGTCAATATAAAAATTCAATATTCATCTAGTTATTTAAGCAGAGAGTGTTACAAGAACAATCAAGCGATTCAGATCAATGTGTTTTATATTAACAGATTATTACAGATTTCGGATAAGACATTGAAACAGACCTTCAAAGTGTATGAATGTATGAGAAATTGAAAAAAAATTGGAAAGTCCCAGTAAGTGCACCCAACGCAACCCCAACCCCACCCCCTCAAGACTGGGTAATGATGTCTGTGATACGCACCTTTGAAGTCATCCTTTTACATTTTCAAATACGTGTCAAGCTATCTTTGTTAAAGGTATTTTAATACAAGACAAGGACCCTTTAAATATTTAGTCTATGGCTGATTCATTTTGTCTCATCGATCAAACTTAATGTCTCGTCTCTCCACCTTCATCCTGTCAGTCATTGATGTTTCATCTCCTGGTCTCCAATCTTTATAACAACAAGAGGTATGTATACAAGACAATCGATTTAGACTCGTGGTGGGGTCGCAGTGATCTTTCCATTTTCAACAGGCCGCTGCACCCGCTCGTTCTATTGATGGGGAGACCATCGACCCTCAATTTTACAATGTCATTGGCCACGTATCGATTAAGAAGAAAACCCATTCTAATGACACTTTTAGATTCTCTTAACTTGAGTTTTTTCAGTAACTGAATCATCATCGCCATGTTCAGTTGACGCGCTTAATCTTCCCTGACACATCATTGGTAACATAGCTATATACGCCTTTCTAAATTCCGAACTCAGGAGATAGAGAATGATTGGATTGCAGGCACTGCTCCCAACAACAAAAATGGCTGAAAGTTTCCCTGCCCAATATGGGATATAAATCCCAAATATGTCATTTATGGGGAAAAGGATCAAAAATGGTGTGTAGCACACAAAATATGACACCATTATCATAAGTACCACTTTTGTGATATTCATTTCCTTTCGCTTCTTTTTATCATTTTTGCGCAAGTTTGAAGAAGCTGCGTGTTTATTATTTTTCAATGCAGCCGCGATTTTCCTTTTTGAATTTCGGACCGTCTTAAACACCATGAAGTAACAGAAAATCATAACATTGGTTGGAACGAGAGTAATCAGAACGAGGTCCGTAATCATGAAATCGAGGCCCTCTAGAAAGTTAGGCAGACAGCAGCCAAACGTTTGGTACATCTTATACGACCCCCAGCCCATAACCGGTAAAAATGCCATGAGGAAAGAAATACTCCAGATGATCCCAATAAAAATGGCAACACTTTTTCTCGTAAAAACACTCCGGTATTTCATGGGATGGCACACCATAATGTATCTATTAATGGCCATCAAGCACATATGTAGCATCGTACATTGGGTGAGGACCATTATAATCACACCATACCAATTGCAAAGGTTAGCACCGAAAATGTTTCTCCCTGCTATAGCTAACACCAAGTTGAGTGGACTGTTGAGGAGGCCAACACCTAGATCTGTAATCCCTAGGCTGAAGACCAACATGTTTGGGATGCTGTGTAGCGTTTTGTTGCATTTAATGACGACACACATGAACATATTACCAAATAAACATCCCACTGTGAGTATGGACAATCCTACCACTTGAAGCACTCGGTCTCCCAACCCTTCAAACATAGGATTTGGGTCTGGTTCCCCAGTTTCATTCATAACGTATGTGCTTTATCGATCCAAAGTTTAATATCCTTTTCCAAAGTCTTTGGGTGAACCAAATTTCAAAGATCTAATAGCCTATTGTAACGCCTGGCTAATTCATCTAAATGGTAATAAATGTAAAATCTATGAATATGATGAATAAACTAATAAAACACAATAACAATATATTCTGATTTCGGAATAAAGCGAGTGGTTCTTTATGAAGTGTTATCCTTTGAAACACCATTTGGGTCTTTGAAACGTAACTTCATCTTAATTTGTAGATTTTATTGAAGGAAATAATCCACTATCAAGGAGTTTGGCGTTTCACGAGCGTTCAATATCAAATCCTCGGCGGAAGGCTATAGCCTACTAGGTAGTCAACTCGATTTGGCTCATCTCACGTCCACGTTGAAACTGAATTGAACGCAGATTGAATCAAGGTTGAAATTCCTCGTCACTTCTTAAATCCTGCGTCGGATGTTGTCACAGTTACGTTGAAACTGAATTGAAGATTTAATCAAGGTTAGAATTCTTCTTAACCTTAGCGTCACTTCTTCTATCCTGCGTCTGGTATTGGGAATCCATTGAGAATACAGTCAATTATTCAGTATTGCAATGTCACGATGTAATTCTATTTCTATTTATTTTTGTAAATGTACGTATGAACCAGTCATTCTCAAATATACCCACTCTTATGATTGTTGACTGTTTTGATATTTTAATGAGTTTGAAAACGTGTATCTGTTTATTCCGAGACTTGCTTCTTTAACTCTTCGAAATATAAAGCTAACTATACGATATTCGTGCGTAACAACTGGTGAAATTGTAGGTCGTAAAATAAAATCACATAATCATTGTATATTTCAGCGACATTTCTATTTTGCCAGATTTATAAACTAACTATAAATTGCATGAGAACTCAAAATGTTAACTCCGTTATTTAGGTATTGACTTGTACTGTATTGTATTGTACTGTATTTTATTTTCAAATGGGAAATAATGAGGTATCCATCTATCCGTATACCCACCCTAACTACATAACATTTCCATCCAATGAACCTATTTTCGCATTCCGTTTGTATTTATCTTTCAGTGAGTTTGATTTCCAATACGCAAAGGTCTGTTTCAATGTCTTTATATCCGAAATCTGTAATAATCTGTTAATATAAAACGCGTACATTGATCTGGACCGCTTGATTGTTCTAGTAACACTCTCTGCCTAAATAACTAGATGAATATTGAATTTTTATATTGACTACATAGCACCTGCTAAATAAAATGAAGATGAAGGATTTAGCGACATCTATCGAAAGTCTATGGATGTACAGGCCCGCCAGCATTGGCGATCACTTTTCAAAACAGTTCGGGGAAACGGGTCCACATTTTACTTTTGCCAAAAATCACTTGAAAAGTGTTCAGAATGGTGAAAACTGCATGACACATTTTTTAACCAATGGGGGAGGGAGGTTATATAGAGGTTATTTACTGGTCGGGATTAAATATGGGTTTATTCATTGTGACAATATGATATTTCCCTCTGGCCCTCCTGAGCCTCGGGAAATATCATATTGTCTCTCGGAATAAAACCCATATTGATCCCTCCTAGTAAATAACCTCTATATACACCCCCACCTTGGACAAATCTAGACGGCCTTTCGTCAAGGTTCACTCGGCTACCGTCGGTTTGCATTGAACGAAGTATAAAGACTGAGCTGGCGAAGATGAGCCCCTTGAAAGCTAATGAAAATTACCCCTGTCCCGATTACCCACAAAGACATTAAAATAAAGCATTAAGACTGATATAAACACAGATGAAAATACAATCTCTAATCTCATGTAAAATGGCACATTTAATTGTTTTCTTTTTGCTTGCTTCGGCAACTTATTGAAAAATCTTTGTAGAAAATTACTATGATAATAAAAACAACAACAACAACAACAACAACAACAACAACAACAACAACAACAACAACAACAACAACAATTGTTTTCTGGTCCGTGAAGTTCATCATTTTACAGCAATGAGCCAGTAATGTACCAGCAGCCCCAGACAAATAACTGGGGCTCATACAACCAGACCCTCATAAACCCACCTTATTATGGTCATGGCCAGCAGTGACATGTACCACCTGTAGACTACAATCATGGGGTTGAACATATAAGGTCATCTTATATTTTGACGAGCAGGCAAGTCATGTAAATGGTTTCTTAATTGAAACTGAGATTTAACAAGAAGAAATAGGTGTCACAATGTGTTTTTTTGTAAAAAAATGTGTTTTTTGCAGAATTTTTTTTGAAAATTAAATTTTTTTTTTAGAAATTTTATTTTAGTAAGTACAGTCTGTTTTATGGAAACAAAAAATGCGATGTCATAATAATAGATGATATGGCATCATGTCATATTTATCGAATCTGACCTACATTTCAATCAGTCGAAATAGTTTTTTTGTAATGTATGTACATAGCATGACGTACAATTTGATACCTACGACAACTTGTTATACCGGGTGAGGGGGGGGGTGCAAGTTGATATTTGGCTCATAGGTAGCCTGCACTAAAATAATAGTCAACTCCCCCTTCTACTCTATGCTTACGTAGTTAATCAGTTAAGGTCTCTTCCGCTCTTGGAAGATATCTCCTTTTCTGAATCATGCTTTTGTTTTGGGATTTTTTTCCATGCTTCACCAAACATCCATTTACGTATTACGGGCATTAAAACATTACTTCGTTATTTAAATTGAATTTTTCTTTATTTCATATATTAATTGACATGAATATTAGAAGGCGTCATTCACTGCTATCTATCATTCTGAAAATAGAAATGGGACATACATTAGATTAAATGTACTACCATTTTTATATGAATATGTAAATCCAGAACTGGAATAACTAATTTGATTGGGATGAAGGTCCTTCAATAACTTAGATTTTGGGGGTGGGGGTTGTTCAAAGCCGCTTTGAACAATGGGACATAGAGAAATGGATCAGAAGCGGAATATTGCTTTTGCATTTTGTCGTTTACTTTGTCAATGCTATGTTGGATCATGGTGAGATGATGGTTGAGACGTTCGATTTTGTTTCCTTATCATAATTAGATTTTTGAAAGTCAATTAAAAAAAAAACTTTTTGTGTCATGCCTAGCCTAACCTCTATAACTATTGAATTTCCCGCCACAATATCCATCCAATCAACGCTCAACGTTATGAGCTTTTTGTTTTCTCGATTTAAACCTACTTATAAGTCGAGTTGCGTCGAAATGCTCTCGGTTTTGGAATTTGATTTTTTTTAAAAGCTGTTATTCATGCATTAAGAACATCGCTTTTGTTACGTTGACATAAGTCGTCAAAGTAACATACATTGGTAACATAATGGAGTTTCGTCAATGTAACAAAAGCGAGGGACTAAATATATCAATTGCAACTTCATTAAAGAAACAAATTTCAAATCGAAGAAACTTATTAAAGCAAGACTATATTTTCTTGCTTTGTGCAATTATAATCTGCAACTTGACTTATAAGTAGGTTTAAACGGAGAAAACAAAAAACTCGTTACCAGGAAATTCATCCATTTTGTTACATTGACGTTCCGTCAAAGTAACGAGTAGTGGAACAGTGATAAGGCAACACTTATAATACTTACTATAAAACTGGTTCACAACAAGTATAAGCCTCAGTGTAGTTTTCGTCACAGCAGTCCCCAATAACCAAGATTCCTGAAAATTGGAAAACCATTCGTACAAAGCCTAATGCATATACTGGAGGGATTTCATAAATATTTATTTGGTTTAATTGTCTTTTCGTTCCCGTATTATGTATTTCAAATATATGTACCTGGTTCCTGGCCCTCTGCGCATGGGTTGTTATCACCTAATGGGTCTGGGTCAGCTACACATGAACCGCCAAGTTCCCTGCAGGATGCAGGGGTCTCCCCAGGACAAATATCTTCAGTGTCGTCTGGGTTGCAAGTGCAAGGCTCGTCTTGGGCTAAACATAATAATAAAGAGTATATGTTAACCACAATCTGTGTCTTAGCTGGCTGTACGAACCTTTGACTATCATAGATGATATTGCAGTTTTGATACAAGTTGTTAATTCTGGATGTCACGTGGTGATTTCCGATGGTTCGAATGTAAAAAAGCGGCTTCTAAGTAGAACTAATGCTGTGCAGTGAATCGTGTCTTTCGATTTTATACATAAAAGAGTTACAGGCTAACCCAATAAGATATAAAATAGGTACCCTGCGTGCAGTCTAGTTATAAACTACGAAGACGAAACTCTCTTTTGAGAAGTTGAACGAAAGTATAGGGTATAAAATGGGCTAACTATCAATGAAAACTTAAAAACGTTCCCTATAGGATTTGAAATAGATCACGTAACAACTCACGAAATTGTTTCGGCATATTATTCAGTTATTACTGTTTAAAATCAAGAAAAGGCTAAGTGTTTCTAATACATATCAAATGCAATGCTCATGTGATCTTTTTGGAGATAAACAGTTCAACAGCTAAAAACTACTGCTTGTATACAAAACTAATTAATGTTATTGCATATCAAAATAATAATAAATATTGAAACAGTAAGAAATGTGTTGGGCTTAAAATGAGCGGATGCTTTATTATACTAAGTAAACGTAAAATAACAAGAACATAAACACTTTTATAAAAACCGCCCTTTAAACGTTTGTACAATATATATCGAATGAATTAATGAAGTACATGTACAGGGTGGGTGGGCGTGGAAAAATGTTGTTCACTATGCCCCGCCTCTGACGGCTATTTCAAAAACTAGCAATATGTATGATGCGACATCTATCTCAAACATTACATTACATTAAAGTCAATTTGCAAGCAAATAACCATTAATGTTATTGCATATCAAAATAATAACAAATATTGAAACAGTAAGAAATGTGTTGGGCTTAAAATGAGCGGATGCTTTATTATACTAAGTAAACGTAAAATAACAAGAACATAAACACTTTTATAAAAACCGCCCAAAGATCGCCCAACAATTACTTACATCCATAACATATCATTTCAGAGTTATCACATATCAATAATATTAT